GGCAGTGTGGAGGACAGGGCAGGGGAACACAGCTCTGCCCCAGGCCCTTTCAGGCCAGTCCCCACTGTCACCACCAGGAGAATAAAGACAAACAAGGGAGGGAAGAAGAGGCCTCACTCCAAGGCAGTCAGAGGAAGGTCAGAGGTGCTCTGAGGGGGAGCACAGGGCAGATATTAACGAGGACAATGCAAGCTAGCAAGTGCTCTGACCCCAACAACAAAGGAACTGAACTTCCATATTGATATTTTTCCTTGGTCTGAGGGGCATTCACACGTCCAGCACACTCCTGGGCAACCCAGGGCCACTTGGAGGGGACTGAAGGTCTGCACCACCCCACCGCACTCCCCACCTGCTCCAGAGGTGAGAGCATTCAAAGAGATCAGGAACCAAGGACCAGTCCTTTTAAATCGGGGGGAGATTCATCCTAGAAACCATACAAGGGAACCCCTTCCATTTTGTAAGGCCTCCCCCAGACCCAGGGACTTAGAGCCCCCCCTTCCCCAGGAGGGGGTGGAGGCAGGGGACACTGCGGGGCTTGACCGAGATCCTAAGCAGCCTCTACCTCTGGACAAGTACAACCCTGGGGAGTCTGCTAGGCTCCGGGGAGAATGCAGGCAGGCAGGTCGTGCGGAGGCGGAGCTGACTGAGGGAGAGGAGGGCGGCTCGCCAAGGAGAGGGCAAGGTCTCCGAAGAGGGGCGGAGGAGGGGCAGTGGGTGAGAGACAAACTTGAAAGGTTTCCCATTGGTTCTTCACTGGAGGTAGACGGGAAAGGAGGCTCAGTGGAGGGGGGCGCCCAGAGATAACCTTGAGGAGAGCAGGAGGAGGACCCTAAGGGAGACACCTGGAGGAGACTGTGGCAGCTCAGAACCAGGGAGGTGACAGGATTAGAAGCCCAAGGATTTCGCGGTGGCGCAGGGTGGGTGGGAGAGCGCTGAGTGCGATGCTGCAGAGGCCCTGGAGGACAGGGAGCAGTGCCCGGGAGCCCAGGTCAGAATAGCGCAAGGCCAGAAGTGTTGGCCTCCTCCCACTGCTCGAATCACCTTGAAATGACAGTAAGGAATACAGAAATGAAGAGACCCAAGACAGCATCGACAACAAGGATGGTACCAGCAACAGAAGATTTCCTCTCTGAAAGATGGGAAACACACGGAATTGTGTTAACGGACAAACTAGGAGAGCACAATCCAGAACATGAATGAGGGAAGGAGCAGGGGATAAGGGGTCCGCCTTCTAGAGGGAGCCCCACATAGGCTCCCTGATTGGAGGAGGTAGTGGGGGTGCCTTGCTGGGGAACTGGCTGCACAACAGCTGGACCAACACCCCACCCCTTATACACAAAGTTGGGTGAGCACGAGCTCAGATGCTAAGAAATGAGCAGAGATGCAGTGTGCAGGTTGGGAGAAGCAGAGCAGAACACCCCAAACAGACCCAGAGCAAAAAGAGGAAAGGCAGCTCTAGCACCTGGGGTCAAATCTGCCCGTTCCCCACCTGCTCATGCCCTGAAAGGACATTGGCCTAAACCAGTGACATATACTCATACAGACCCTCACTCCCAAAGCAGGGAAGTGGCCTTCAGGTGACCAGTCCTGAAAAAGAAATCCTTCTCAGGAACGTGTATATCAGTTCAGTCCTTCATTCATAAAATGGCAAATAATCACTCTCTTCCCTAAAAATTGATAAACACAGTATAACAAAGTCCTGAAATAATTCATGAAGAATTGTCGAAATAAAAGTCTAATTTATTCTCTTAAAGGAAGTCATTGCATCCAAAAAGAACAGGCTGCTATGGAAAGAGGAATAATCAGAGAACAAGATCTTGTTTTGGAAATAAAAAAAAAAAGGGGGAAAAGATGGCCAAATTAAAATTTTCTATAGAGGGCTAGGTAATAGAATAGTTGTAACTGAAAACCAAATTGTTTCTGCAGTGGATCGTAGCAATAGTCACAGCACAACCCTAATCTACCTAAGGCCATTGTACACTTGAAATGGGTGAATATTGTGGTAGGAAATTTATATCTCAACAGAGCTGTTACAAACAAGGAGCCCAGCCCCCTCAGGCCGGAAGGTGGGTCACTATGAGGCCTGATTCCTGCACTGTTCTTCAGACTGAGCTCCAGTTCCATGCTGCCAGTTGGTTTAACACACATTCCACCTATTGGCTGCCTTCCTTCCCAAAGTTACTTCCCCATGAACCATGGACCTGCACTTCCCAAAACACTATAGAGAATAGAATCCTCCTAAGATCTATTTCTGGAAGAACCCCAACCAAGAATAATATTTTTTCATTTTGATTCAGTGATTTTAAAAGAAGAGGTGGTTGAAGTTGGTGCCAGGATGAGGGTGACTGATGACATTTCAGTAGGATGGTTAGGGAGGCCAGTCTGGGGGAGGGCTTAGCTGATGAGCTGGAAGAGAGTGTCAGTTGAAGACAGGCTAGGAATGGGCCGGACGCAGGATGGCAGGATTCCAGGCAGTGGATGAGGCCATGCTGTAGCCGGCTTACTGCTTGAGTAGAATGAAAGAGCATTTCCCTGATGCAGGGCAGCTGTCGGGAAGCTGCAAGCACCACTGTTCACTGCCAGGCCCCTGACTTCAGAATAAGCTCTTGGATTACAATCAAATTAAAAACTACTTCTGCTGCTTCAGCACAATCAATACATCCCCTTTCACAATGCACAATAGACAGGAAGAAAACAACTGCCAGCTCAGAAGCCACTATGGTTGCTTGGGTGAAAATTCCTGATCACAGATCAAAGTGAGAGAGGCAGGAAATCAACCTAAATGGGGCTCCATCTTCCAGTTTAAGGGCACACACACACACACACACACACACAGGATTTCAATTATTCTAAGATATACTATTTCACATTTTAACACCTCTGCAATTGTGGGATATCATACCATTGATACAAGTCACATTCAACTGGCAGTGGGTTTTTTTTAGTGGTATACAGAAAGTATTGCATCTTACAATTAATAAACATGGGATTTCATATGTGATGTGAACAAACAAGATTTTTCGTGCTCCTTAAAGACAAAAATGCCTCATTCTCGGCCTCTGTCTTTCAAGATGATATTAAAGGCAAAAACTTCCAAGTGTATTACTTTCAGACCTGAATGAATTATATTTTAATTTTCCAGATTGATTGTTAATTCTAATAAGGTAAAGTTCAATTTCAAAATTGTTTGGCAGATGTTCCGAATATTTAAAAAAATAAAGCCAATATAGAACTAACAGAAAGGAAAAACGAGTTGATCTTATAAATACACAGGCCAGCACATGAAGCATTTATTTTCCTGTTCTAAACAAGAATTTTTACTTTATCTGATATTTTTCTTAAGGCAAATCACAGAGAAGTTAACTTTCGGCCCAAGTAAAGGCTTTGTTCATTGCAGCTTTCCTGGAATGAGCCATCCTTTACCTTCATAAACTTATTCTCCCCTTCTACTTCTGAGGGAGCCAAGGCAACCCAAAACATCAGAACTTCCAGATCACATCAATTGGGGGTAGAAAAGTAGGAGATAGTCAGGGTGCCTTTAATTCTAGATTCAACTTCAAGGGTGACTCCGACTTCCTGCCCTTTTCTACTCTCCCTCAACCAACTCAAGAAAGGAAACCAGGGTCAGGGATGGAATGAGTCGTTCTGGTCGCTTTCATCCTTTCCCTCTTAAGGCCGGGCTGGTTTATGAAAAGTCCAAACTCTTGCAATGCTCCTTTAGCTTTTTGACCTTCAAACTCAAAACCAACATGACTTGGGAGTAACCATGAAAAAGGTTCAAATACCAATTTCCCCTGAGGTTTCAGGTGTTGAACAGTTCCCTAAGAATGCATTAGACTGACGTTTACATCCAGGAGCTGGAAGCTCAGGTTAGAATCCGTCTCATGGGCACCAAGAGAGGGCTTCATGGATTTAAGGACCAGTCAGGACCAGAATTGAGCCCAAGTATGTGCAAAGCTCTAAAGATGAGTATCCCTGTGCTGAAAAGCCCGTGAGGTCAATGACCAGTGCTGTGGGCGCAGGTCATGACTGCAGGAGAACTTCTGCCAAATAAAGAAGAGCAGAGATCATCTCACCCACCAAGTATCATCAGCGCCAAGGACTTCTGTTCAAACAATGGCACGTGTCAAGTGGAGGCTCACAAAAGGCCCTCAGTAGCCCTTCCAAAGTGTTTCAAAACCTGCTACGTCTCTTCTGTCTCCACAGACTTGAAATCTCAGCAGAGAACCCATAAAAGAAAAAAAGTTAAAGAAATCTTCCTCAGAGGAGAAGTCTATTACCTGAGAAGGCCTGGCCAAGTTACGTGGACAGAAGCAAATGGTGAACCAATTACTTGTGAATGTTCTTAGAGCTTCATTATTCTTCTCTAAACCTGACGTGCTGACGGAGCCCTCAGGAAGAGGTGCTGGCAACCACTGGGGCAGAGAGGTCAGATGCAGGCACGTGAAACCTTTAGGAGGACCAAGCATACAATTCCTCAAAACCCACTTCACATAACTGTGCCCTCACATACACGGCCTCCACGTGCCCAGTGGGAGAGGACAGTGTGCCGACTATTCTCACAACACTAATCCTTCTGTTTTTTGAGTTTCATCAAATGTTTACTTGTTTTTAATTGAACATTAGCAATTTCTTCTCAACCTAAGTCTAGGAAAGACACTTGAGTGATCAGAGGCTGCTCTATATTTCATCACTGCGGATACAAACCCCAAAATGGACATGGCTTACAATAATACAGCCTTTAAGATGGTGCTCCATGTCTTAAATTCCTTATACTCACTGGAAATAGGAGCATAAATAAATATTCATATCATCCTTTAAAGACTCTACATGGGAAAGCACTTTTACAAATTCTAAATGCAAATACAGATGACCCACTGGGACAGAGAAAAAGGTAGACTTCAATATTATGGTAATAGTTTCTAGGGGAAAAAATGGCCTCTTTGGGGTAAAATGCAATTAAATACAGGGAACAGATGATAGATTACTACACATTACACATGACAATTAAAAATACAGAAGACTTTATTTCCAACTTCTTACAGTCCCCAGTTATCACATCTGGTAAGAATCCTCATCTCTATAAACACAAAAATATCTCAAGAAAGCATGTTACAAGATAGTATATATAAGCAATAGTTTGGCAAAATTTTATCAATTCTAGTAGTTCACACCCCCCCCAAAACCAAATTTTAAAATTCAAAAATAACAATTACCTTTATTTAACACATTACACATTAACACTTAAAATATCATGCTCTAGTTAAATATATCATCAACAACACTGTATACAAATAAAATATTACACAAAATATATTTAAGAAAATGTTTTGGTCTTTGATCTGAACAATAAATAAAAACACAGGCACTTCTACACTGAGACAGGGAAGCAGTTGCTACTCAGAATAATTATTTTTGTATAAGCAACATGTGAAAAGACAGCAAGAATAGAAATCCTGCAGTTTTAAACCAACAAACCATTCATGAAAAGGTCTGCAACTTCAGTCTTTTCACTTAAAGTTCAAAAGTTACACATGCTTTCCTGGTCCACAATGAAAAATCAGAAACATAATATGGTTGCCGGAGTCAGGTCAATCTTCAGTTTGAAGATTATGGAATTACACTCATTATTTTCAGATACTAAAAATAGAGAACTATTATGATACCATCCAGCAAACCAAATACAAGACAGTTAAACTTTCTCCTGATGACTATAAGACCGTAACAAGATAAACTGGATGCCACATGGCGATGATTCTCATTCTGTAAAATCACTAGATTAGGTTAACAAAATACTGTTGGGGTGGAAAGAAATTTTGACAGAAGTCAATTTTTCTAGACAATTTGAAAAATGAGCCCAAATTTCATGAAAATAAACATAATTCCATTTCACAAAAACCAGAGTCCAAACAATACATTTGTAGCCAATAGGTGTATGGACACCTAAATTGCAGATAATTCAGTCATTATAATGGGAAATAGGAATATTATCATGTGAAGGTAAAACAAAAATAACTTAAAGTGGTCAAGTTCCAGGAACATGATTTCAGATAACAAGGAGGGTAAATCAGAAACTAGGGCGAGCTGGACAGCAGGAAGGGTCAGAGCCAAGTGTCTCCCGACAACCTCCATAAAAAACCCATCTGCTCTCCCTCTTCAGAAAGTACCACACAGTAGGGTTTGGAAGCCCTCAAATGGACACTATTTATGAAGGCAATTTTGATGCTTTAACATAGAAATTACCCCTAATGTGAGAGAGCACAACATGGGAGCTATTCGAGATATGTCTTTCTATGCAAAATTTAGTTTGTATATAGTTTAGCAATTTAAATGAGCATTTTGCAACCGAGACCAAATATCAATCATCTCTTGAGGTTTCCTACTGTGTACTAACATCAGATCTAGATAGGAACAAATGTTATTCTTGTTTTTCTCTTCTATATCAAATGTCCTGAAGCCTTTGTGTTTCTCTGGAACGAGGCCGAGTTTTTGAAGGCACATTCCAGTATAAACGTCATCAATGGGGTAGAGGAGGACCCGGTCAGTTACACTGTACAGCCGCAGGGCCAGGTGGCCCGAGTAGAGGAACCCTCCTCCCCCTGCATAAGGCGGATACACGCCAGTGTAAACAACTTCCGGGATGTAGTACTTCAGTTTCTTATCCCGATGAGGTCCAGCATTGTGAATCACATCGCCTATAAACAAATCTTTGGCTTTGTTCTTGGATAAGCTATTCAAGTAATTCAGGATGTGATGAGTGTTCACAAAAACATCGTCATCACCCTTGAAAACGAACTCGGCATTTGGGCAGGAAGTGCTCACCCACCTGAGAAACAGTACTTCTTTCAGGGACAAGTTGAAGAACGTGTCTCTGTAGCTCCACATGAGGATGTCTTGGTGCTTCTCACTCTCAAATTTCAGCATATCTGAAAGGTCGGGATGGTTGTCCTCTGGGGGAGTCTGGCCCAGCAAAAAGACTCGCACCACTGTTTGGTTCCCCACATTAGTTTCCTTGCCCCAGGATTCTCGAATTGCCTGCCTTCTATCGAAATGTGAAGTGAGGGACTTAATTGCCAGCAATAAGAAAGGCTTCTTTGCACACTTATCTGGTTGATCTATAAGCAGTGAATAATTTCGACATCTCAAATACAGCAGAAAGTCTTTAAATCTGTCTGGCAAATTGTTGAAATCTGAAACCACGGATGTGACCCTCAGGTCAGGTTCACAATAATTCAGATGGCTGATGTTGGAAAATCCAGGTACTTCCCCTGTCTGGTTGGGCAACATGTTCAAAATGGGATTGTACCTCCTGTTCAGCTTTTCTTGTTCCCTGTTCCAGTATGCAGTGGGAGGCTCAGATATCTTCCAGAACTTTTCTTTGGGTATTATTACTTCCCCCTTTCCATTTTTTTCTTGGCTACTGCTTTTGGAGACTTCCACAATCAAATAAATGAAGACATTTACCATCATCAGGATTCCCAACAACTTTATTCTTCGACGTCCAACACTCATTTCTCATATCTGAAATAAAAGAGAGGAGGACTGTATTAATTAGCTTGTTGTCCATTTGCACATGCTCCTATGTCACTTGCCTCTTTGTCTTTTTTTTTTTTTTTTGGAGAGGGGAGGTAATTGGTTTGTTTGTTTGTTTAATGGAGGTACTGGGGATTGAATCCAGGACCTCGTGCATGCTAAACATGTGCTCTACCACTGAGCTATACCCTGTCCCCTCTTTGTCTTTATGTCCTCTCAGAATAGCAGTTTAGAGCAGATTCTAGACTTGTGCTGTCTGGGTTCTAATCACAGCCCTACCATTCTAGATTTGAACTCTGTGACTTCAGGCAAGTTGCATAACCAATGTCTCAGCTTTTCCATCTATAAAATGGGGATAATAACTCATGTCAGAAAATGGATGGGAGAGCTATATGCTTTTCTATGTAAGCTTATAAAACAGTGGCTGGCCCACAGTGAGCTGTACATAGTGACTGTTAACACTGGCTGTTTTTGACACCAAAGGACAGAGATAATCATTTACTAAATAATTCATAGGTGGTTCAACTTCCTTGCTTAGACAATGAAATATACAAATTAGTGTGCTGCAAAGGGATGTGCTCACAACTCATAATAACAAATACATTTTATATTTGTTATTATGTATGCACATGTACATTACAGTTCTATGTAATTCATTGATTCTATATTTTATTCTATTTCTTCTTCTTTTTTTAACAGTGGTTGTTTGTATCCAATCTTGAATTGTTTCCCAACTTACCACTTTACAGATGAGGAAACCAAAGCAGAAAAATTAAGACATTTGCCCAAGATTGCAGGGCTAGGAGGTGAAGAAGACACTAACTATACTGAGTGTTCAGAGAGTTAAAATGAAAAGACGCACACCAGCTTTATCTGAATAGCCCACAACTGACACCAACACACATACCATCAACAGAAGAATAGATTATGAAACTGTGGTATATTCAAACACTGGAATAACCCCCAGCAATAAAAACGAAAACTACTGCTACTAGCAACAGCAGTACAGTACTAGCGAGAGACAGACCTCAAATTCCATTTACGTTAGGTTCAAGAAGGCAAAATTAATCTAGGCCCTGCTGTCTATAGCAAGAAGGAAAAGAGAAATGAAAATGACATTTCAGTGAAATATCAAAGGCCAAGAATAGATTTCAGGCTGTGGGCAACAAAGAACAAAGAAAGAGCAATGAGATGGTTTGCTAGGGCTGTAACTCCAGCATCGAGCACTCTGGAGATGGATGACCTGCCCAAGAACAACCAGTTAGATAAGCCTGACATTAAAAAGACAACCAAAAAACCAAAAAAGTGGAGTGGCAATACACTGCAAAGAATTTTCTTATCAGGTTAATTCTACAACTGAGAATGTATCCTTAGAAAAGAATCCCAAAGTAGAACTCCTTCTCAGACACTGGGCACTGTCTTGATACAGTGAGCCTATGAAGTAGATACTGTTACTTTTATTCCCATTCTATACTTGAGGAAACAGATTTAAAGAAGAAACTGTGTCAAGGGCAGAGCTGGAATCCTAGCTAAGGGGATAGGGTTCCAAGACCACCATGTCAAATGGTAGCCACTCTTCTCTGACTTCTAGAACAAAGTGGTCTTTTTTTTTTTCTTGCAAGGGGGCAGGGGGTTAACAAACACTGATTCTTCTAAAATTTCAGTACAGATTGTGAAAGCTGAAGAAGAATGGTGTCAAGGAAACAATTTGGTTGGAAGAGCATAGGATTTTTTTTTTAAGTATAGTTGACTTACAACGTTATATTAATTCCAGGTCTACCACATAGTGATTTGACATTTTTACAACTCATACTCCATATGAAGTCATTATAAAATATTGACTATATTCCCTGTGCTGTATATTACAGCCTTGTAACTTGTTTAGATTTTGTATTTTAATCAAGGGTAATGTTTACCTTTTTTTTTTAATATAAGATTTTTAAGTTCACTGGGTTCTAACAAATAGCCCCAAGGTAGAAAAAGTATTTGTCATGCTGAGAATGCTATGAAGTTATCATAATGTTGAACAGCCCAGATTAGATCAACAGGAATTTATGAGCTGTTTCATGTTTCTTAAAATCTGTCCATTAGATCCTAATCCAGTTGTTTGTATTTACCACTGATAAACAGCTTTGGTTATGGACATGTAAGTAAAACAAGTTTTTAAAAAAACCATCCCTACCCCATACCCACAACTCCCCCAGAGCCTTGCACATCTACAGAACATGGCAGATGAAGTGCGTGCTCTCAGCTCACTCAAGTAAACAGCCTCCCATCACCACTCCACTCTCCCCTCACTTCTCAACCACTACCCACCCTCCACCCCTCAAGAATCCCACTACTGAGCTATCAAGAAAGGGCCTTCTTAAGCTTCCTCCAAACACAGTGATTTGAAGAAAAAAAAATCCAAACCCCACAAGATATTTTCTACCCCTTAATTACAGTTCTAAAGGGCCCCGAGTCACACACAACCTGAATAATTCAAAATGTCCACACCTAAAGCTAGAGGCCACACCCTCCTTAGGTCAGCTCCTTTCCGGGGAGCCTTTGAGCACAGCTGCTGAGAAACTGAAGGTCTGAGTCCAGTACATCTCTAGCCACCCACACCACTCTGCTCGGGGCCTAACTTGCAAGGACTAGAGAGCTCAAATAGACACTTCGAATGTATTTGCGTGGGAATCTGATAGTTAAAGAATTAGTCATCTTTTTAGCAAATAAATCATGGGTGGTTTTAAGCTTTTTGTTTTTTGGCTTCCAGATTTGAGACAAAACACTTTTCAAAAACAAACAACTCTCTGAATTAGGATGAACCATCCTAAAGTTAAGAGTAGCACCTGACCCATTATCACGGGGCCCGCGGTCTTGCCCTTTCACGTGAACAGGCTGAAAGGAAGACAAGGAGAAGTGTGAGGGTGAACAGAGAAAGACGACAAAGAGGAAAAAGACCTGGAAGGGTTCTCAGAAAAAACAGCACATGTTATGAACAGCTAACTACTTGGCAGAAATTTTCAACTCAGAAAAATAATATGGATATCAGTAGAATATTCCTGAAATTTCTAGAGTCAAAGATGACAGCATAATGAAGGGAAAAAGAGAAGCTCAGCACCTTACATAACAGGTTATGAACCTCTAAGCTCATTCTTCCAGGGAAAGATTCAGGGTAAATAATACGACATGATCCAGAGCAATGAGCCAGTTACACGTTCAGGTGAGGGGGCAGAGTCATGGGTACCTGCCATCCGCCCAGAACTGTCTGAAGTGATGGTGTGAGGTTTCTTATCACCGAAAACACTGGTCCTTCTTTTGGGACTACTTTTTGAGGATTACATTAGGTTTGCCGACACTGGCCAAGGTTTCAGCTTCATCCCCGGCAATTCAGGCTTTTTATTTCTACAGTCAGGATCTAGCCAAGACCTCCCATCCCCTCAGCCAAAACAGGGCTCTGTGGCTCTCAAAGGAAAAGCACACTCGCCTTATGTCTGTTCAGGGATTCCAGTCGGCAGAACACCTTCCTGCCCATTTCTCATTTGTGCCCCGTAAGGGAAGCTGAGAGGATACCACTTTGCCAGTGAGAAAAATGGAGGCTCAGAGGGGGTTAATTGAGCTGCCAGTTACCTAAGACTTAAGTGATAAGGCTGAGATAACACAGCCTTCAGGCTCCAATCCAGGGCTCTTTGGACCTCCTATTTCTACAAGGCATGGCTACATTCTTGTAACCTGGTCCAGGTCAACTGTGAAGTCGCAAGGGCTGGCTCAAGACTGAAAAGACCCAAGGCAAATCATCAGGATACATCTGTTTGTTGATAAAATTCTCCCAAGAAAGGGAAATGGGAGTCTAGAAGCTCCCAAACCCTCTTCTGAGAAGGGGCCAGCCTTCCTTATCTAAACTCCCAAACTGCAGCTCAGGCTAACACTTACTACTATTTCTAAAGGGCATTTCTTCCAAACCAACCTGAGAAGGAAGGATGGGAAAATCACCAAGATTCTCAGTTACACATTTCCGTTAGGTTTAAATGTCATCTTTCATTTGTGACCTAGGCGCAGTCCCTTGCATGAGAACTAGACTCTTCCAACAAACCAAAGTTCGTGGAAAGGATAAAGCAGTGACCTCCATAAAAATATCTGTGGGAAAAAGCTCTCTGAATATCTGACTAAATATTCCCATTACAGACCTAAAACCAATTCCATGTCCTTTTTTGAGCAGGAAGTTACACTGCTCAAAAAGAATTTGAATGAGAAAACCTACCCTGAAGCTAGGGAAGATGTTACACAATCCTCACTGTGAAACACAGAACTTTGCAAATAACAGAAATAGAAAATCCCAAATGCAAACAAAGAACAGCCTTAGCTTTCACCTCGTACTTGGGAGTAAATTCTCCCCAACGGGGACTGAACAGTCCTCAAATTTCTCAAACACTTCAGCTGATTTTGTTTAACAACAACGTCCTTCTTCGCAATTCAAATGTTTAGAAAGGTAGGGACACACACACAAAAATGTGTGTTAGCTGAAACAGGATTACGGAACAGTACAGATGCCATGCTTAAACGATGTGAAAATCCAGATAAAAGGCCACACAAAACCTAAACCGGTTTAATCGGGGCAGGAGGATTACAGGTTATTTTGAAGTTCTTTCGTGCTGCCACACCGTCTCCCCTCCTGAACAGCCTCTATCCCACATGTCTAGACTGCCCGGGGTGAGGGTGGGGAGCATGCCACACACAAATCCTGCTGCGGGGTCCATTTCCAAGCCCACATCACAGCCTGTGCCTCGGCCCCACAGTCCCGCACTCTCCCACACAACAGCCGTCCCTTCCGCAGGCCCGTGCTGTCTGCCTGAGGCCATCTATTAGAAAGGACTCCTAAAAATAAGAGTAAAATATGAACACATCTGCTTTAATACATACTTAGGTGCCACTGGCTATGTCCCAGGTACCAGTGATCCCTATGAAGCAGATACCCACAAAGAGGTGACTGAACTTGTCCAAGG